GTTCTCCTCCAGTCATCCCCTCCTTCATCCTCTTCATCGTCCTCATCATTTTCTTCTTCTTCATCGTCCTCCTCATCATCGTCATCTTCCATATCAGATTCGTCACGATCAATTAATAAATTAGTATTTGGTAGGGGAGCCGCGGAAGCTGGAAGAGTCCATTGAGAGGATAACTCTTCTAGGTGCCTCGAAGAACGGGTATTTGTAGTCAAAGTAGGCACAGCCGTAGTTGAAGATGTATTCACTTGAGTTTCTTGACTAGCATTTGCTGCTGTTTCTTCAGAGTAGCTACAATTATTTTTATTACCTCCATCATTAGTACCTTCCCCATGATTTGATGATTCTGGTTGTTCAGGTTTATCCGCTTTATTACCAGATTGCTCATACCCATAGAGAGCGAGAAGTTGTTCGATTGGCATTTCTCCTTCCTATAAAGCAGAGAAATAAATAAATAAATGAATAAATCTATAATCTAAAAACTTTTGATCTTGATCGAACTCACTTTCTTTAGATCCATAATTTCATTCGTTATATTACTGCAATCATCATTTGCTTCCTCTTCTTCAAGTGTATGTTCATCATCGAAATCATTTATTAACATCTCCGCTGACGGATCAAAGTCTTGATCACTGTCATGGGCTATAAGAAAAATAGTCAAAAACAAAGATAAGATTAGATTAGCTCAAGATTTATTGACTTAAATTTACTCACCGGATGGAGTATTAACACTGGCTGTGGGCGAAGGCTTATTCATTCCATCAACATTAGCGTTCATCGGTTCAGATAAGAGCTATAGTGGAATCAACTATGAGTCAGAAAAAAAGTAAATAAACGAAAAAAAGTGCAATTAGTCAAGGGAAAGAAAGAGAAAAAGAGAGTAAATAAAATTTGACAATTGGTCACATTTGATTTGTTTTCATTTGAGATTTACCCAAGAATCGATTCTATATTATTCAAAGGATGCGCAACAAAATGTGCGCACTTTTGAACAAAAGGAAAAAAAGAAGCCAAGATAGGAAAGTGACCAAAGAGACAGAGAAATAGACAGAGGAAAAAAAGGGAAAAGAAAGTGAGATGAAAATAACATACCTAATATTATAAATAAAGAGGGAAATATCAATTGAATTTATGATAAATAATCAAAGATGAAATAGTAGACTGATGG